TCACTGTCGTCGTCTGATACCTTATCCTACTCTCTCTCTCACATCTCTTGGGAGACTCCCCCTATTTCCTTCCTTCACCAACTCAAACTCCCTCACATACGCCCTTACCCAACTCCCCTTCCAGTCATCCGTGAGGGGGGGCGAGACAGTGTCGCCATTTAGAAAGACAGAAAAGAGACAGAGAGGTAGAGCTTTTTAGAGTTCTAGGTGAGTGATAGGGAGAGAGTCCCAGTGAGACAGCCAGACGGCCAGATCGACAGAGAGACAGACAGACAGAGAGACAGACAGACAGAGAGACAGAGAGAGGGAGAGAGAGGGAGAGAGAGAGGGAGAGAGAGAGAGAGAGAGACAGGCAGAGAGAGAGAGAGAGAGAGAGGGGGGGGAGGGGGGGATAATTATGGCAGGCCTAAACACCGTGAAGTTATCTGATGTTTTCCAGCTCTTACGAAATTTGACAGTTCTTGTGCTGATTAATAAGGTAAGGGTTCACTTTAAAAATTCGTATGATAAATTTTGGACACGTTTGTTTAATTTTGCTATCTATGTAAAAAAAATAATACGTTTCTAAAAATTAGGTTATAACCAATTTATTCCATAAAAGCAAAATTACAAATAAAATTACAATATTAGGAAGATTGTATTGATTTATTAGGCCAAAGCAGCAATTATATAAATAATGTTTGTCTTCAAACTTGAGCAATACGATTTCTCAAAACTTAACAAATTGGAAGCATCGGGCTTTTCTATTGTACTCTTCAAACATTCTTTTCAAAATAATTATACTTAATATCGAATGAACTGACGGTACGGGCGTTCTCTAGGTACCTGTACATGGAATCTGCCACGTCGTGCAAACCTTTGTGCAAGAAGGTCCGCCCCAGTCGCCAGTAGCTGCCCGCCGTCTTCCAGCCGTGGGTACCGTGCACCTTGCTGTTGCTGTACACCTCTTCCGAGAACTCTGTCAAGGCGTCATCCAGACAGCCTGTATGTCCGGGAATTGAAATAAAAAATAAAACCCCAATTATGCATAATATTGTTACTCGTTTTACAGTGTGAAGTTATTTAACCCTTTGGCGACGCGCATTCTGGTCATTTGACAAAGCTTAAAGAGTCACTTGTTTGTTTGTTTGTTTGTTTGTTTGTTGTGGGTTGTCTTTTGGGGTGGGGGGGGGGGGAGGGGGGGGGGGGCACTGTATAATAGATAGGCCAACATACTTTGCTATTCATACATATTTTTAAAGTTTTCTTAATCTGAAACTTTAAATGCAGGCTACAAAGTGTGTACTGCGAAATACACGAATTCATGTTTCCAGTTAGTGTAGGCCAAAAATCAATTATGGTGGGAAATTTGCCTGAATATAGCCCTTGATCAACTGCTCGGATATATTGTCTTTATTACGTGACCGCTACGTCCTCAAGGCGTTAAGAGACAAGACCCTCTCCCCCCTGCCCCGGGGGGTGGAGTTACTGACTGAAGTGAGAATAGGCCATTCCCAAAGGGGTGGGGCGGGGGGGAGGAGGCATTTCTCGTTCATGCACAGTAAAATTGTAAATGGGCTGATTCATCAATGTCGTGCTCATAACTGTGTCTGATCTACAACAGAGAACTGCAGCTTTTTTCTTTCCTAATCCTTACTATTGTCATTTCCTCTACTTCTTTTGCATGTTTGTCGCACTCTTGTGACCCACTTTTTCTGGGTTGCCTTGATATTCGAAGCAGACTTTGTGCTGTTGAAGCAAGAGAGGTGAGCAGAGTAAGTCTGATTCCCTGTAAGGACTTCTCTGTTGACATCCACCCATTGGCGATCATATGACCTTATGCAGTTGCGAGTGCCGGAAAACCTCTACTAAAACTAAAGAGAGACAAGACATCATTTATATCGTGTATCTCCGAAAGGACCAAGAGGTAATTCGTAGGTGAGCAGAAATCACCGGATCTCACGCACCCAGCACTGCTTTGGGGTCAGTACAACCGCTGTGGTGAGTACCAAGACTCGGATCGACTAGACTAGTCGTTATTGGGAACACTCAAGCAATTATTTTTCAAGGACCGCAGTGAAGCCCGCTAAAAGGAAGCTTAGAAAACTAAAGTCTAAAAATGCATGGTCAATTAGCCCACTTCGTTATTTCAGGCACTTCTCTACAATCCATGCCAAGACTCCTTGCTCGGGAATGCTGTCAGATGACTTCGATCTTTATCCAGTACCGTATCTCGGTCTTTCTGTTGGGGCGTTATATCCCTCTCAGCCCTGGTTGGCCGTGACAGGCGGGGTCGTAGTCTGCGTCCTAATTTATCTAAATTGTGTCGATGAAGACGTAAAAAATACGTTTTAAAAGAGTTACAGACCGTGCCACAATAATTGTATTCCCAGAAAATTTTTGGGTGTTTTTTTTAGAACGATAGCTATGTGTTACCTGCAGGTTCAGAGGTCTGGACTGCGATCTGATTCCTGTTTCTCTTGAGGTTCGTGATTTCTCTTGCTACCATTACAGACTTCAACATAAGTTAAGGACCACCTTGACAGACTGCCCTGATTTTATTTTAAATCCGAAAAAAACCCAGCAAGGAATGTTTCAAAATTGTTTGCTCTAAAAGTGTTAATGGGTTACCAATACGTACAGCAAAACTTCCAAAATGAGCAAAACCACCACGTGCAGCACGGAAATCCTTGAGAAATTTTAGCCATTGTTTTCTTTTTTTTATCGACTTGTTTGCAACACCATGGACATTCCTCAGTTACAA